TGCTGCCGTACCATGGGTGCAGCAGGCGCAATGATATTACGCAGCGACTGAAAATAGGCTTATTGGAAGTTACCTAGCTGGGGACTATTTTCAGGCCGTACGTAATATCATTGCGCCTGCTGCACCCATGGTACGGCAGCAAAGTTCCTTGATTAGTCAAGACGATAAAACTCTCTCTAAGATGATTCAATGTTCCTATTATTATACTTGATCTGTAGAGAGACTTTATCTTGCTGGAGTTTAGTGCTGTTTCTAAATCATGTTACTTTCTACCGGGTGTCTGTTAGAGATCACTACACCGGAGTAGGGCTGTCAAAAAAAAATTCTAATTTCGAATATTCGTCGAATTTAAAATAAAAATCCACATTCGAATGCAAAAACATTGCAGGTGTGCGTTAAGGAGGCAGATGCGATGACGATGTAAGTGTCGTTGCATTATAATATTTTTGTCAGCCTATCCAGTTGAATCGACTATGCTGTGCTGCTGCGTTGTTCATTAAAAATATTGCAGAAAAAGAGAACATCAATGCAGAGATGATATTGTTTACTTCAAAACTGAAACCAAGCCGTTCACACAGAATGCGTATTTCGCGCATTTTCTGGAGGGACATCTATCACCTTTGCACTCGCATCTCGCACAAAGGAGCCACATGTTTAGAAAGCCATGTAAAATTAATGCAAGTTTAACTTTGAAAAAAAAAAAAAAACATCTAGAAATATTCACATTTAATAATAAATGTGTGTTTTCTTGAGCAGCAAATCAGTATATTAGAATGATTTCTGAAGATCATGTGACACTGAAGACTGGAGTAATGATGCTGAAAATACAGCTGCGCATCACAGAAATAAATTACAGTTTAACAGATATTCACATTGAAAACAGCTATTATAAATTATAATAATATTTCACAATTTTTACTGTTTTTTTTGTATTTCTGCTCAAATAAATGCAGGCTTCGTGAGCAGAAATGACTTCTTTAAAAACATAAAAAATCCTACCATTCAAAAACCTTTGACTGGTAGTGTATATGCCAGACTGCTGCATAACAAACGCCGATCTCTCCGCAGATAAAGCGTCCGTACTTCCACGTCAAAGCCTTGGAGAAGACCCAGCTGAACAACTGGAGGGAGTACCTGGACTTCGAGCTGGAGAACGGGACACCGGAGCGCGTGGTGGTTCTGTTCGAGCGCTGTCTGATCGCCTGCGCGCTCTACGAGGAGTTCTGGATCAAGGTAGCTACACGCAGCTGCCGCTCGCGCCTCATTCCCTCTCTCCACCCTTTGACCTCCCTCATCACCTCCACAGTAAAACTTGCTGCACTCTTTGCGTGTAACGTTGATATTTGACTGTATCTGTTATATTAGGGGATGGTCTGCTTGCCACACAAGATTTGACCGCAGCATTTGCCAACTACGTTGCACCTCTCCGTCTCCTTCTACCTTACAGAAACTTATCTTATTGGTTCCATGAAGGTGCTGATGGGTTTAAAACAGAAATTCTCAAAACGATCTTGTCAATGGAAATTCAGCAGTGCGGGGATGTGAGACGAAAGCTCAATTTTTATGTGCTCTCTTCCCTCTTCTGTTATCTCTCTCTGTCGCTCTCTCTTGTGGTGAGTGACGGTATATAAATGCATCATTCATTCATAATGTACAAATTAAGCTTTTAATGTGATTTAATATTATTGAGTTTGTGGAAATTCGTGACCAACCGGCAAACCATAACAAAGCCGCATAAATGTAGGCTATATGGCCTCGAACAGCATCCAAAAGCATGGGCGCGATGTAACATTTTCCAGCTAACCAATTATTCATCTAATAAACAAAGCTTTAATACCACACTTGTTTGCTTTATTTTACAAAAGCACAAATCTTCTGTTTTTATTGTGAGTGTGCAGAAATAAAAGTAAACACTTTTGCGAAATATATCTTGCTCCAAAAATTGAGTTTTTTTTTTATGTTTCAGCTGTTCGATCGCGCCGGCGCCTCGCGCGCGAACACACCCCACATATTCTAGCAATTCAAACTTATATCGCAGTCTGTTCATTATCAAAATAAAATAGTCAACCAAACATATAAAAGGATACACTGGTCAGTTTAAATAGACCGTAGTATACCGGTCCACTCTGCTGTTAAGGACTTTTTTGCTCATGTGAAGAGGATGATCTTTTCCGTCTATATGCGAATGCGTGTAAAGTACAAGCCTAGTTTACATTATAAATAATAGTTTAACATTCAAATACATTGCGAATATGGAAACATTTGGATTTGTGCCGAATGAGACGTGAGTAATAACCTCCAAATACATCTAGCCAAACCCGCGCTCGCTCCGTCTCGTATGCACGCACGCATGCACTGTCACGATCTAATGCACTGTAAATGCCGGATTTTTAAAAACAAATAGGCCTACCGCAACGCAAAAATTCAAAATCTGACATTTTCCGGAACAGGATCCAGCAGGATCAAATTAAGTAGTGGTCATAATACTCACATGATAATGTTTGATGTGAGCAACAGTGTGTTTTGCTGCAGCAATGGAAGCGGTTCACTGACTGCGCAGCACAGCCACACGCGCCACAGTTACGTTTGGAATAATGTTATTTTTAATGCCATAATGTCAGTTGAAAACATTGCAATTGTGTTTTAAAATACAACAACGAGCACCACGAAACCATTTAAAGGGGCGCGTTCAGCGGTCCCCGTGACGGGATAGGAAACGGTCAACAAAGTAAAATGGTCAACAAAGTAAAATGATCTCAAACGTACGGCGCGCGCTCTTCAGTTTATCAAATGATCATAAATCACATCTATTCATTTTATAATTCTGCTACTAGCATTTTATTCAGACTAAAACCCCTTTAATTCGTGTGAGAAATTTTTTTTTTGCACATCCTGTCATGCCGGTGACAGCATTAAGTTTAACGATTAATCGATTAATTGATCGTTAATTTTAAACGACGATCGATCATGGAAATGATCGAAAATTGACATCACTATATCAGACATGCTGTCCAATGGATGGATGCATGGTTTTTCCTTCTGCAGCATCGGTGAGCGTCTGAACCTTCTGTAATAGTTGCATATGAGTCCCTCAGTGTGAAAAGATGCATCTCAAAATCATAGTCATTGTTGGAAAGGGTTCAAATACTCAAAAATGCTGGAAAACCAAAGAATTTGTTGGAGCTGAGGGGTTTTTCTGAAGAACAGCAGGAAGTTTAACTGTTCAGGACCAATGCAGGACTCATGAACAACTATCACTAAACTAAAAACCACAGCTGTGGATCATTCAGCTAACAACACAGTATTCAGAATCAAGGGGATGAAAACTTTTGAATGGGGTCATTGTTATAAATTCAACTCTTATTTTCTCTTGTGGACTGTATGTGAACATCTTTTATGTGAAATATCTTATTCAGGTCAGTACTACATGAACAATAACATGCATTTTGTATGATCTCTCTTATTTTGGCTGACATAATTAACATTTTGCAGATTCTGAAAACTTTTGACCTCCACTGTATAAAGAGCTGGATGATAATATGTGACCCTGCAGCACAAAAGCAGTGTTAAGTCGCTGGGGTGTATTTGTAGCAATAGCCAACAATACATTGTATGGGTCAAAATTATAGATTTTTCTTTTATGCCAAAAATCATTAGGATATTAAGTAAAGATCTTGTTCCATGAAGATATTTTGTAAGTTTCCTACCGTAAATATATCAAAACTTAATTTTTGATTAGTAATATGCATTGCTAAGAACTTCATTTGAACAACTTTAAAGATGATTTTCTCAATATTTAGATTTTTGTGCACCCTCAGATTCCAGATTTTCAAATAGTTGTATCTCGTCCAAATATTGTGCTATCCTAACAAACCATACATCAATGGAAAGCTGTTGAGTATATTTACTGTAAAGCACATCGTTTCATGTCAGTGTACTGCATGTGTATAATAGTGTGTTTGACATTGGGATGTGTCTACAGGCGACATCGAGGAGGCGCGGCGGATCTTGAAGGCGATGGAGGAAGCTGTTCCCGGACTGGCGATGGTGAGGATGAGGAGGGTGAGTCTGGAGCGTCGTCACGGAAACATGGATGAAGCGGAGGCCCTGCTGAGAGACGGCATCACTAACGGGAAGAACAGCAGCGAGGCGTCCTTCTACGCCGTGAAACTGGCCCGACAGCTGGTCAAAGTGCAGAAGAGCATCGGGAAGGCCAAGAAAGTGCTGCTGGAGGCCGTCGAAAAAGATGAGGTGCGGGTTTACTTTGACTAAATGATTTAATCTTAATAACTGTAATAAAATATTTAATTATATATTTATTATTTTAAATTATTATAACTTTTTTTTATTGTTGTATTGAAATTCTTTACCTAATTTGGTGTTCCTGGTCAAAAATGCTAAAAAAAAAAGTTTTTAAAATTGCTTGTAAATCTCTCATTATTCTGTATTATCACCAAATCTGGAATCTTTTTGTCAACTTGCTTGCTTTCAGTTAGCACCGGTTTAGTGCTTCTTTTTGGAACTGGTTGATTGTAGGCATCATTGATCAATATTTGGTAATGATATAGCATAGTTGTTTGTAGGCTGGTCGTTGGTTTTGACTGGGAACCCCACAAGTGTAACAAGGAGGGGAAATAATCCCGAAAAAGTATAAAAATATCACATTTTGGTGAGCAGTCAGTAAGTGTGATAACTAGGGCTGGGTATCGTTCAAAATTTTTCGATACCGATACCTTGACTTCGATACCGGTTCCTGAACGATACTTTTTCCGATACCAATTTTATGAAATCAATTTTAACAAGATTACATTATCCTTAGGTATCGAAATTTGGTACCGAACGACAAGACGTTTTTCAATACTCAATGGTATCGAGGCAATTCGGTCGGTGCCTAAAAAGTATCGAACTCGATACCCAGCCCTAGTGATAACATTAACTAGCATTTTCAGGAAAAAGAAAATCCTCAACATGAACAAGATTTTTTATGTGATGTGAACGATTAGTTTGAAGTGAACTGAACTCTAGCAGCTGTGAGTGTCGTTTCCTGTTTCAGGCTTTTTCTAAATGGGATTTTTCTGGTTTTTCCGCCTGCAGACGAACCCGAAGCTGTACCTGAACCTGCTGGAGCTGGAGTACAGCGGCGATGTGCAGCAGAACGAGGCCGAGATCATGGCCGGCTTCGACCGAGCTCTGAGCAGCACGATGCCTCTGGAGCAGCGCCTCATCTTCTCCCAGCGCAAAGTCGAGTTCCTGGAGGACTTCGGCAGCGACGTCAACCTGTGAGTGCAGAAACCCAGTCACACTGCGGTGTTTCTCTCAGGAGAGGGGGTTTTGAGATCTGCTGTTCTCTTCACGCAGGCTGGTGGCGGCGTATGAACAGCATCAGAGACTTACAACGGAGCAGGAGTCGCTGAAGAGGAAAGCAGAGAACGGGTGAGTTACCCTCATTACTGCATTAACCCCTTAACTGCCACCGTCCTGTATACGGGACTACGTTTACTTCAATATATTACAATTAAATCCTAATCTAATCATGACAATCGGTATATATCGTTGGAAAGGTCTAAGACTCCTAAATAACTTTTAACAACAAACAGTGGTAAAATATCTATGTAGGAACAGTAATAGATTAATTTATGAATTGATGTGGAAAAAAGTAATTCCTTAACTGTCACCGTCCCGTATACGGGACGCCTAATTTACTTCAATATATTACAATTAAATCCTAATCTAATCATGACAATCGGTATATATCGTTGGAAAGGTCTAAGACTCCTAAATAATTTTTAACAACAAACAGTGGTAAAATATCTATGTAGGAACAGTAATAGATTAATTTATGACAAGAGTGCACCTCAAAACATATACATCATAACAGGAGTTCTTCTTCGCTTCGTTTTTCCCTATCACATGTTTTAGTAATTATCATAATTTATATATCAAAGCTTAAAACCTCCAAATTCATCCTGTGAAAACCATTTTGAAATCGGACACTGCGTTACCATGGAAATCGAACTTTAAAATGTTTTAGCGGGCTCCTCCCCCTTAGTGGGAGGTGTCATATTCCAAACGTATTACGGTCTTTTAGAATCAAAACTTTTCATAATCTTGACAAAATACATATTGTTGGAAAGGTCTGAGTCTCAAAATTCCATATTTGGTGGTTATTTTGTCATAGACATAATATTGAGAGAGAAATTGATACATTTGTGACAGAAAAATGCATGTTTGGGTGGCACCCGCTGGCTGTTTGTGGTATAACGCCTAAAACAAAATTGCATAGGAACCTCAATTTTTTTAATATCAACTTCAAATTTGGAACACAACTTTAGACATATGGCTTTAATTTTATTGCAATTTTGGATTAAAACATATTTTATAAAATATTTATTTTATATAAAATAAAATAAAAATAGTACAGTACATTTTCTTTACAGTAAATTTAAACTTCTATAACTTTATGCTTTCATTTTTTTATATTTTTTTATTTTTTTATTTGTCTTCTTTAAAAAGAGACAATCTGTTGACTTATTACACTGGTTTTAACCCTTGTGCTTCAACTAAAAAAGTAGTTCCATAGAGGACAAAAATGTCCATGTCAAAAAACTGTCGTAATAAACGATATTTTATATAAAATATATATTTTATGAAACATGTTGAACTCTATACCTGCTAGAAAATCAAAGCCATAAATCTAAACAAGTTGTGTTCCAAATTTGAGGTTGATATCTCAAAAAATTAGCTTTCAGTAAGATTTTGTTTGGGCGCAGTACCAAGTTTTCCCCACTAGATGCCAGCAAAACTCCGCTGGAGCACGCAGTGCTTGGATTTGTGATTTGCAGTAGAGTTTCTCTCTCAAATATTACAAGCACACACACAATTGTTTTTTTATGATACGCATAAAAACCACACTGACATCCATATCAACTCACCCACACAATTATAGCTGCATTATTTATCCAATTGGCTCAATAATAAGCAGAAGCAGAAAACAGGAATAAAGCGAGTAATTGCTTTATAGGCCAAACCTGAAAAAAATGGCACCATCTGGTAAAACTTCGACGGCTTTCAGCCTCACCCTGCTTCATTCTACTACGTTAATAAATCATTAGCTCATCCATGAACATGATTTCTGCCCGAGTCCCGTCGGATTGCATCGGCTGTGGGGATGAAGACCACAACTCCCATGATTCCACACTCAGTCACGCCGTCATCTAACTACGCCTTTGTCTCTGTTTATTTTGAATACACGCCCTCTAGTGCCGAAAAATTACATATTGTGCCTTTAAATGGCTCTGTGATTAAAAATAACAGTTTCAATGGGGACATTTTTGTCCTTACGGTCCTGAGAGGAACGATTTTGTGTACCTAGTGCAAATTAGATTTATTAAAGCAAATGAGGTTGAAGTAGTAAAATTCCAATAAAAATGCACGCCTGTGCCTAAATTTATGCAGTTGGCAATAACACAAAAGGACAAAAATGTCCAAAAGGTCGCACAAGGGTTAAAGTCGCCTTTCCACAAATCAAGACTTTGAAATAAGAGCAGAAAGTCTTAAATTCATAAATGCACTGTAAAGTATTTCCGTCTTGTTTTCCGGTATAAATATCTAAACATGTTTAAATCAAGACACATTTACTGGAGACGCACAATGAAGACATGAAGTCTTGTTTTCTGAGAGATTGAACAAAATAAAGTGAGTTCATGAGTCCAAAATAATAAACTTTTCTCTTTGAATTAAGTTGATTTTTCGGACCCCATTGGCAGATATTTGTTCGTTTTTTTTTATTATAAACTCCTTCATTTTGATGGATTTCTTTGTTCCCTTCCATTTATTCATTACATTTTCTTTACTTTGTCTTAAAAAGGTCTTAAAGTCTTTATTTTTACAGAAACCCTGAGGTTTTTCACCTTAAAATCTAAAAGGGAAAATAAAAAAGGGCATTGTGAAGTGGAAAAAAAATCAATACAGTAATGAGTGTTTTATTATTATTTTTAATTATACACTGAAAAAAAAAAAAACGTAGAAACAATTTTCACTCAGAAATTGCTAGTAGAATTTCACAATTACAAAGAAAACCGCAAGTGAACCATTGAGTTAAATGTGAAATTCTGAAATAGTGTTTTCTTGTTAAATGCACGCCAATAATTGGATTTATTTTTATTATAATAACTTTTTGCAGTGTAGTTGTAGTATTTTATCAAAATATCAGAAAGTGAATATTGGGTGAATTTTAAATCAAAATTTGTTATATTTACTGGTACTTTAAATCAAAATATTGCAAATAAAAAATACTTTCTTGATAGTAATTTTAAAGGTTTATCTTCAACATTGCTGTCCGGTTTACTGTAAATCTTTTGTGAAATGATTTTAGACTTATAAAAGTCTGAAAAAAATTTGAGTGACGCGAATCATTGAGACGGATGTGTTTTGTTTTGTCTGCAGCTCAGAGGAGCCGGACTCAAAGAGACAGCGGACAGACGACCAATCAGGAGCCTCGGCTCAGATGATGCAGGACATGCAGGCCAATCACGCCGGATACAACTACAACAACTGGTACCAGGTCAGTCATAATCGCTTTTGAATACAGACCTAAGGTCGGTCTCTTTTTACAGAAGACAATCCGCAGATTATTGCAGAAGTGAAATCATTAAAAAAAAAAAAATGAAAGCATAAGTTATAGAAGTTTAAATTTACTGTAAAGAAAATGTACTGTACTATTTTATAAAATATGTTTTAGTCCAAAATTGCTATAAGATTAAAGCCATATGTCTAAATAAGTTGTGTTCCAAATTTGAAGTTGATATAAAAAAACATGCATTTGATGCATTTTTCTGTCACAAATGTATCAATTTCTCTCTCAATATTAGATCTATGACAAAATAACCACCAAATATGAAATCTTGAGACTCAGACCTTTCCAACGATATACAGTTTGTCATGATTAGATTAGGATTGAATTGTAATATATTGAAGTAAACTTAAGCGTCCCGTATACAGGACGGTGGCAGTTAAGGGGTTAAGTCGCTTGGGTATATATGAAGAGTTCATTTGCAAAAACCGATAAACGCCACTTAAAAAAAAAAAACTTGTTGTTTTTGAACAGAAGCCGATAAGTCCATTCTAGCGAATCAGCGCGCTGCGTTCAGGTCAGGTGACAAGGCTACTTTCACTCTGAAAAGACACGCTAGCTGAGAGGAGTCTCGTCAAAGCTGACTAAAAGTGATCGAGGATGATTTCGACGAACTTGATGAACCTGTGATATCTTCTTCAGGGCGAAAAAGGAAAATAA